GACTGGGTGTAGTGGCGCACCTGTAATCCCAGCTCTTGGGAGGCTGTAAACAGGTGGATCACTACGAGTCCAATATAGTAGTGAGGCCCTGAACACCCTGTAAAGCCTTCCCTAAAAATATAATAAATAAAATGAAAGTGTTAAATATTTCAAAAAAAATCTACCATATTACATTTAGCACAACAAGCACTAATCAAAACACATTTGTGCAGTTCTTCCCCATAAATATACCTAATAAAATTAAAGACTCTGAGTGATATGGCATGCTAACTAAGCTGTGGATGTGCAAATCAAATTGCTCAAAGATGCCACAGGACATGAAGAAGGAAGGATTCAGAATGGAACTCAAAAATACTATTAGTTATTTAAAGTGTAGAAAGTAGAAGATGAGCTTGCATTTGATGTACAAATAATGCATAACCTTTTAAATTTTTCAATAAACTGAAGTTTTTTGTTTTTTGGTTTTTTTGCGGAACTGGGGATTGAACTCAGGCCCTTGTGCTTCCCAGGCAAGCACTTATTCTACCAAGCTATTTCCCCAGCCCCCTATAAACTGAAGCTTTAATTGTGAATCAAATATATTTATTTTCTTTTTTATAGCTAGTTCTTTGTGTCTTACATTAGAAATTTCTTTGCATATGACAGTGTCATAAATACCCTACGCAGCCACAGATGGTGGTGCACAGCTGTCATCCTAGCACTGGAAAGAGTGATGCAGGAGGATCTCTGTAAGTCCAAGGTCAGCCCAGGCTACACAGTGAATTCAATGCCAGTCTAAACTACATAGCAAGATGCTGTCTCAAAAAAAAAAAACCTATTTGTATTGGTTTTTTTTAGGTTTTAGTAAGAAATGCATTCATTCTTTCCTCTCATCACATCTATGCCTAACTCTTAAATGATCAAAACTGATACTTTGGCCAATAAATTTACAAATTTCAGAATTAAACATCTCATTAGCACAAGGGCCTTAAATTATTACAGATGAACAGAGCAACAGTGTCCTGGTCAACTTCCAACTTCTGGTTTGCTAATTCCATCTGTGGTCTCTTTGGGAAGATTTTAGAGTACCTCAGAATACATATACTATAAATACTTAGAAAGTCAGGCTGTGACATCCCTGGTGCACTGTCTCAGGCAGATTATTTTTTGAATGAGTGAATAACGAATGGATTAATATCCACTTTCTCTTTGATGTATCGAATAATTCTAATGAATTTTTACAAGATTTTCACCTTTACTAATTTATAAATAGCTTACATACCTGTATTTCTTCACGTTCCTTTTTATCTGGGAAAGTTCTTGCAGCTGTAGTATACTTTTCAAAAACTTTACGTTCCCTTTGTAGCTTCCTCATTTCCTCCTTTTTCAACTCTTCTATTCGAGCCAATTCTTTTGCTTTCTGTTGCTCAAAGTCTGCAGTTTCCTTCCTACAATAACCAAATTGTTATATAATAAGACAACCTC